ATCACATGTTCATGCAGATATTACACAATACTACTATTGTGATAAAAAACATTAAACATTTAAATATTATTACATCACAATAGGTATTATAGTTACTTATTCATTTTATACTAAGCTTTTAAAGGATCCTGCTTCTGATGCTGCTTTAATTATTTAAGATCCCACCCAAACCAACCAACAGTTAAAAATTTCAGAAGTTACTTCTCCAGATGTATTCTAGAGAAAAACGAAAGGGAAAATGTTGAGTACTGGCCATGCACAAGTCAGCAAGAAGTAGCAGAATAACAAAATAACAAAATAGCTTTAAACTGTTCAGGAATTAATGTTATTTCAGATACAAACAACATGTCTTGTTAATAGCTAATCCTGCTGTTTCTTTACCAGCAAGCAGCTATTTCCTCTACATTATCTGACCAGCTATTTTCACATGTAAAGGAAAGAAATCAAGTCCAGAACCTATTTAAAAAATGCACATCCTGTCCAGCCTTAGCACAGCTGGCTAAAATAATGGCACACATCCTCAATTACAAGCGAGGATTACACTGACAGAGGGAAGAGGCTGGATAAGGATGAGTTTATTTGATCTTTCACCTATAAAGCAGAAATGCCTTGCAGCCAGTATATAGCAACCTAACACATCCGAGAAACTGATCTGAGATACAAAGAAACTAAAGGGAAGGACTAAAGGGATATATCATTATACCCACTTTTTTTCAGAAATATTCTGTACATCACTGGGAAGGAGCACACTGCAGCTACTTTATTAGCTCTGACAGCATCTTAAGACTGTCTCCATCTTAAAGACTGCTTGTTAACCCAAAGCAAGATCATCAGTATTTTTTCCAGGGAGACATTACTTATTTTTTTTTAAGATGTTATAATAGATATAATGCCTTAGAAGTACAAATGAAATTTACTTATATAGCATAATAAAACATTTCATATGCATCTCATATGCAGGTATAGTCTCCAATCACTTTATCAAAGTAAAAATTTCTGTTCTCAGATTTTCAACAGTGGTGTTGATTCAGCACATGCTTAGATCAGATGGCAGTTGTTAGTGAACAAGAGAAATCAACTTTTCAAAAAAAACCCAACTAAACAAAAAAATACCAACAACAAAAACACCCAAAACCTTAAACTTACTTCCCTTTATGCCTTAAAGTTTATCACACCACAGAAAATATATCTAAGTTTCAGGTTTTTATTGGACCAACAGCCCTGATATTTTAAGTGATCACAAGCCAAGAATTGCAAAACATCACTACTAAGATCATATACACTAGTTTTGATTTTCAAATGGCAAAATTATATAGCACTTTGCCAAAGGCATCCTCCAAAAAACAAGGGGATCAGCTGCAGTGCTTCAATTTGAATATCAGAAAGCACTTAATTATTTTAATTTTTCCTAGGTGAACACTACAAAAATCTAACTGAAAAAAGTAAGACCTATGAGTATTCTCCCCAAAAGTCTTCTTAGACACTATTTCACTAACAACAATTTAAAGAAATTCAACCACATCTGACAATTAACTTCCTACAATGGCTACCTTTTTTAGTTTAAAATGAAGAAGCAGAATTTGAGTGTGTTGACAAGCATTCAAAAATTCACTTTTAAACTGCCATCACTTCCAAGCCAGATAAGTTAGATGTGGAATACCTATCCTACCCTCATTTAAAACATCTCACAGGATTTTTGTGGCAGGAACTATTAAATCTTAACTTCAAGAAACCATATCGGCAAGGACAAAAGTCTCAGAGGTGCTGCTCCTACTGGCTCCAAGACCTCTGGAAAAAAGCCCTCCCAGCTAGGCCAAATAGTTGTGGTGTAGCTTTTAGACCTAAGCAGACATAAATTCTCAATTAAAAGTAAGATTGTCACACAAATATTTGCTTTATTTATGTCACCTACACTGAAGTCCACATGAAATTGAGGCTTGTTTCCTGTCCCCTACCAAAGAAAAAGTTCAAGAAGCCTTGCATCTTATAAAAGGAAAATCACTCTTCCTCTCTCCTGAAAATGAACATGCTGAGCATTAATTAAGGCATAGGGAGGAAGGCTCCTAGTACACCACGAGCAGACTCCCTTCGTTATTTTTTTCTTTCGAAGAATCTTCGTGCATCTAATGCTGCTGGCCAACACAAACTTTACACATGAACTTGTGAAGGGACTGTGCTATTCAGCAGTCAAAGGACAGCAAAGTCTTTAGGTTCGCTTTGAACTTCAACATCAGGTATTACAGATCACGTGTCTCAGTACGTACTGCCAGCAAAGAAGCACTGACCTTGAACTGTATTTCTTTAAGATGGATTCCAAAATGTTTACCAGTTCCTCAGAGTTAATGAACTTTTGGGTGCTGAGCGTGTACATTTTTTCATAGAAGTCAGCAATTTCCATCCGAGCCTGAACAAAAAAACAGAGCTGTTCAGACAGGTGAGAAAGCAGCTCTTCCAAGTGAGGAGCTGTTCCTCCTAGTGCATTGTGACCCGTCGCCACCACCTTCTTCAGCTCATTATGCAGAGATGTGTAGATGGTTCGGATGGAGTCCTTTCGGCTGAAGAATGACTGACCACCTGTTCAGATAAATATGGAGGTATTACCAAAATCCAGGGAGAGCAAAGATAAACAGCAACACTGGAAAATTCTTGTAATTATATATCTAGTTGTTTTCAACTATTGTTTAATTACAGAACTTCTTTTAACAAAGAATCAAAATTCAGTGTTTTATTCTGCAAGTAACTGAATCACAGAGCATATGCTCAGAGGACTTTATGTAATTCCATGCAAGCTACACTTGTCCCACTTGATGTCTCAGCAGCCAATGGCTGCTGCAAAACAGTAACTCCTTCACAGTTGCCTCAGTTATAACATGACTTTTAAGAAATCCACGGTTCAGTTAAATTTGCTACTATGATACATGACCTGGAAATACTATTATCTATGGAAGTCAGAAGAATTAAGTCATCATGACTTGAGTGATCAAATTTTAACAGCCTTCACTCCTATTAATAACTCTAGATGTTTTCCAGAAATTCCTTTAACAATCCCTCTTCAATCATTAAGCACTCAAATTCATGAAGCAACCTTTAAATGGGAACCGTGTGTTCAATCTGTGTGTACAAATCAAATGCTTCTAGTCCCTACACAATCCCAACATAAACCAGAATTCAAAGACAAAACAATCACACTTTATACCAGTGAGACCACAGTGCAAGCTAATCCATAACTAAAACTTGGAGGGCAGGTGGGAGAACAAGAAATCATCTGTGCTCACTTCTACCAGCTCAACCCTATGAGGAATTTAAAAAAGAAAAGACAGGAGTAAAGGGTCAAAGTAAAATATACTTAACTTTGATATTACAAAAACACTGTACGAATGTACTAGCCTTATTTCATAGTTTCTATTTACAGAATACTTAGTGTGCCATTCTGGCAGTCAACAGCTGCAGCACAGCAAAGACCACAGGGATTGAGTCTGAATCTTTTAAAGATTCCAAATTTAGCTGCCACTTTGAAACTGCTTATAAATTTTGTAATGCTGGATAGCTCTTTCCACTTTCCTTTTACACATATAATGTTTAAAGGTGACATTTGAGGTAGAAAGATAGAGAATTGGCTATCATAGTGAAAATGTTCCCATTGTAACACATGCGTAGCCTCCTGAGCATAGGCAGCAGGAAGAATCATTTACTCCAGTTGTATGAAGTAAATAAATAGACAAAACTTTTCCCCTTCTGTTGTCACCTTTATCCTTTCTGCAAGCACCATATGCACTCTTTAGAGTCAGCCTTACAGATAGAGTTTTGGCTGTAAAAACCTTCTTATAAATAGTTCTAAGTCACCACTTAGATAACAAAGCCGAATTTTCTTGATGGTTTAATGCGCCATACATCAGACTCATATCCTTTGATCCATTTTCCATACCCATCTGCAGTTCAAAAAGAAAGTTAGCAGCTTTGTAGCACCACAAAAGCTCATCCTGTGCCAGTCTGGGATTTTTCTACTTAAGCACTGACAAAACACGAAGCGGCTGAGATGGTAGCCAAAGCTTCTTGAGATTCTGCAGTATCTGCATGGGTAACAACTTCTAGGATGCTATCTCCAGCCCCGAGTGCTTACACATACACACCTGTAATACAAGGTGAAAAAGCTTTAACGCTCTGGTCATCCCAATAAGCTCATCTTCGCCTACATCTCAACCAGAGATCTCAACACAGAAACGCCTCTAATCCCTGGGAAGGGCGGGTAGGTACCCTGCCGGCCCGTGAAGAGATGCAGCGACTGGCACAACAGCCAGTGTGCCACCTGCACAGCACCTGTCCTCTCGCTCACGCTTTAAGGGCAGCACGAATGGCACAGCCGATTTCTCAGCGGGCACACGGACACTCACTAACTCAGCACTTGTCTTTCAGACGCACACACCCGCACGCACCCACCGAAACAGGGCACCCGGGTACGCAGCACTGTGCAAACACCGGCTGCCAAGGGACCTCCCGGCCGCCCGCTCCGCACTTGCAGAGCCAGGCGCGGGGCAAGCCCCCAGGCTGAGGCCGGCGCAGCGCGGGTTGGGAGAGCCGGTCCCTCCCTCCCCGGAGCGGTACCTAGCTTCTGTCCCAGGAAGGTCATGCTGTGATAGGCCTTCTCGGCCGCCGCCAGGTGCGCCAGCCCGGCCAGCAGCGCCAGCCAGCTGGACCCCGCGCTCTTGTTGGCCTCCCGCTCCTTTTCCACATTGTCCTTGGCCTTGTCGTAGGAGAAGATGCCCAGGTGGGAGAAGAAGGTCTCCAGAACGGCCTGCTCCACCGGCACCGGAGCTCCCAGCGGGATCGACTCCCCCATCCCGCCCAGCGCCTCCGCAGCGGCCACGACTTCCGGGTCCGGCGCCCGCCCGCCCGACGGGACACGTGAGCAGCTGGCTCGGGGTCACGTGACGGGCTGGGGCTCGCGCGGCTGGGCAACGGAAGCACCCGGGAGCGCCGAGGCCCCGGTGCGCGCGCAGTGAGCGTTCCTAGGCCCGGGCTTCTGCTGGCCGCTCGCCTCTGCCTTGCTGTCCTGCGTTTCATGCTGTAAGCGTAAAGGGAAGCACGCTTTCCTGCTAAATTGTTCGTTCAGTTAAAAAGGTTCTAAACCTCAAGTTCTTTCTGAGGCCCTTATTCTCACCTCTTTAACTCCCACAGGGCCCTCCAACTACTTTGGGTTTATTGTTTTTTCCTCCCTTGCGACTGGGGAGATTGTGGATTGCCCACACTAATCTCATTTTCTTCAGTTCGTGTTTCAGACAGAAGAGCTGCCGGAACTGATTCTCCGTGCAGGCGATGAGGAGCACAAGGCTGAGTCACGGGACCAGGCTGCAGAAGGGAAGCTCGCTGTGGCCACACTGACTGGTCCCAGCTACGCAGAGCAACTACCCGCCCTTGCACTGACAACCAGCACCTCTCCAGACTGAGTGGCAGCTATCCAGCTAATCTAGAAAGGACACATTTCCAATTTCCTCTCTGCAGGGTATTTCCCAGCATCTGCAGCTGCTTTTAAGCTGACATCTGGACAAAACACAGCATCAGTTCTCTAACACTGGTATGACCCATGTATTAATTTAAGTAGCTGACTGCCTATTGTTCAGGAAACATCACCACTGAAAATGAGCACCAGATGCATGATGCACCAGTACCACCTTTAGGTATGGAGCCTTTTAAATAAACCTCAACTACATAGTATCTACAAGCTTCCTACTGTACACAAAGTAGCCTAAGAATTTGAGTTTGGATATAAAAATTGTCATTGGTCTAATATAAAAGATAAATCTGCAAAGCCCTTCGTCACTTTTCTTTTCTAGGTACAGGCACTCCTGTACACATCCTTGAGCTTACTCAGAGTGGTGTATAACATCCCTGAAAAGGTTCCAGTTAGAACTAAAATTCTGGCTTCAAATGCTTATATTTGAAGCAGCTTAACTGCAGTTAGGAAGTTTTTATTATTACAGCTGACAAGTCTGAGTTCAGCATGCACCAAAAGCTGCCTTCTTCCTGAACTCAACTGTTCACTTAGTGCGCCAAAGGGACAAAATGGATGTAGGATTTTACTTCTCTGACCTGTAAAGTAGGTTATTAAAATCTTATTTATTGATGGGATATCTTGGTAATTTAAGTCAGCACCTGAAACACTCACCTGTTTGTTGAGGTTGGGGTGGTTGTTGAGGTGGTACAGGTAAAGAAGGAGGAAGGGCCTTTGTAGGGGTTTTACAATGTTTATTTCAGCCACAGATGTGCACAGCCCAGCATCCAGTCTGCAAAGGCAGAGGGGCTGGTGTGAGGGCCTAGGTTAAATACATGGGATGAGCAGGGAGGGAGAAGCATCATCAAAGACCAATTACCAGGGGGCATGGGGGTGTCACAAGGGTGGGGTTAGGGCATGGGGGCCAACAAGGAAACAGAGTGGGAGTGACCAAAAGGCTGATGGTAGGGAAAGAGCAGGGGCCTGATTCAAGGAACAGAACAGGGGTTGTCTTGACCTAATTGAACAGGATTCCTTATCAAAAGGAGACAGTTGAGAGAGAGGCCTTTCGTGTCTTTCTAACCGCGAGTGCCCTTCAAGGTCTCCACACCTGGTCAAGGCAATCGCAGCTGTGAACAGTAGGCTGTCAATGGTTTACAGTAAAAAAAAGAGTAGGAATGGGGACTCCTAGATAATCAGTATACAGTCTCCAAAAGACAACTGGGAGTGAAAGGTTCCAATAAGATTTTTATTGCAACACAGAGTTGACAACATGTTTTTATATCTAGTAGAAAGTATTGGGTCTCTTGGTGGTGAAACGTGGTTTGTGCTGGCGACGCAGAACTCTGTGTGGCAGCGGGAATTTGATTTTAGAATCCTGCAAGAAAAATGTTTCTATGTTAATTGAGGTATCAGATGAACAACAGAAAATATTGTGGAATAAATAGCCAAGTAACTAACTCATACTTTGAAAAGCAATCTATCCACAAATTAAGAAACACGTCACAGAACTTAAGAAACTACTTAAGTTTTGCATTCTTTTTTTCAAAGTAATGCCAGTCAGAGGCATGTTTTCTGCACCATAACATGTATTTGCTTTATTGTGACTTTCTTCCAAATAATTGTAGCAGTAGAAGTCTTGATCATAATATACCATGATCATGAACATATGCACCCAAGTTTGGTTCCTGCCCTATTTTTGGATGCAAAGCAAACCTGTACCACACAAGAAAAATCTTGTCTTCCAGTCCAACGTTAGACAACGACCCAACAGCTACTGCAGTGTTGGCTCACTTACATGGAACTGCTTGACTGCTGGTCTGCGGCACTTGTTGGCAGCAATTTCCTCAACCTTCATGATCTGGATAGAGTGAGCACGGGCACGATGACGGGCTCCCATATCACGGTCTGGAACAACATAACTCATTAAAAATAAATTTTTCTACATTTTCAATTCAAGAATCTTACAGCCTTTTGTCCAATGAATGCTCATAGTGCCATCTACAACTTATAAAATTTCTGATCAGCTACAATTAAAATCACCATTTCTATTATGTAAAGCGATGGCACAAACATCACAAAACCAACAAGCATTAGCAAATTCTTCCTCTAAGTTCTAAGCAAGCTCCTCGATAGGAAGAGCCGTCTTACTCTTCTTGTCCTATTTCAAGAAAGTATGCATGGACACAAGTAATATACCTAGGACTACTTTCTCTCTTGCAAGAGAAAAATCCTGTGATTCAGAATCAACACTGAAATACCATTACTGGAAAGACATATGAACTTCAAAGCACGTTCCCTTCCAAAAGGAAAGTGCAAGTAAAAGTGGGACCTGAGGATATCTTTACTTTTATTGAAATTGACCAGCATTAGAACCATGAATTGATTTTCATCCCACATAATCAGGCTTTCTGAATATGAGGAAGCATCTCACTTGGGCTACCTGAAAACTCCTCTATTCAGCAGTCTTCACTGGCTTCAAATCAAATCCATAGCCAGGTACACAAGGTATGCCTGCTGAAATACTACTGTTTCCCATGAAGATCTAACACATCTATTAAAAACTTACCAGTCACAACTATTATTGACCATAAAGTACCAGTCATTTTTATCATGAAACATGAGGTTCCTGGGCCTCTTAAGCAATTCTGCGGTATGCTCATGAACAGGGATTATTATTGTACGTTAATGTAGAACCTTAAATTTCACTTTCAACAGCACTTCAGCTTTTGAAAGGCGACAAGATACATTTAATATTTGCACACATGACAAGAATATCATTATCAAGAACAATATTCTTTGGGTTTTTATGTGCAATCTGTAGTGCTTGTAACACTCTGGAGTCAACTATCAGCTACACTGATAGATGGAAGTATAGGAACCAGGAAAATAGTCTATCCCTCAAGTACTTCACAAAACACACTGAAATCGAGACAACTGTTAATTCTCCCTGAAACGAGGCAATGAGATCTTGGAGTAATAAATAGAGTTTTTTTTCCTGAGATTTTTTTTTTTTACTTACTCCATAAAGGGCAGATGCTAGTATATTCCACATGATCTCTGAAATACTCTCTTCACAAGACTTGGGAAGATATATTAAATTATCCTAAAACAACACAGTGCAGGAAATACACACAGCACCTGAAAATTACTTCTCAGTTTTGTATAACATAGAACTGTAGAAAGACACACCAAAAAGAAGTGGGAATCAGTTTTCCAGTCAGAGAAACTGTATAAAGAGAGGTAACAAGTCAGATACCACGTGTATAATAGATAAACATCTATGGAATATCTCCTTTAATTTTCCAGTGTTTCAGTTATTTTACCATGGATTAAGTCAGCATGCCTTATTCCCAGTTTGAGATTTAATCTTCTGCTTGTACACTCATCCTACTATTTTACATCTCAAACAGTTACATATACTTACAGCACTGAGTGACAGCACCCGCAGTGGTCAAATCTCTGTACTCCCTGTACATGTTGTGGGTTCCACTACGAGAATCATAGCGCAACCAAATACCAAAATTTTTTACCCGCAGAGGGGACTTCTCATACACCTGGAATTATAAAAGAATATGGAAGTGGTTAGAAATTATGTACTATCACCATTTTACAATTTTAAGAATAAATATCTCAGAACTCTAACGAAACCACTGCTTTGTTAAAAAACAACTCTTTGCTATCTTTTCCCTTACCAACATAGCTACATTTATGTCGTGATAATTCAGAGTAGAAAACTTTATTAATTCAAAGAAAAATACAAGATTTCAGCTCTAAAGATTGTTCTTGAAGTATCAAGGTAGAGGAATGTAAGCATACAAACATTCACTTTCTCAAGGTTATGAATGTCCAAATGCGTCTTAAAACGTGTATCACACAATGAACCTAGTCTAAGAACAAGAGAGCAACACTAAGCAACACATAGTTCATAACTTTAAACCCGTAAGTAAATTCCTATTCAGTTTGTAGGAAATATACCACTACGTTAAAAAACCAAACTTGTCACTCCTTTTCATAGCAACTGAAAGATTAACGGATATCAACCTCACACCCCATAACTGTGACTCCTATAAAATCCTTCCACATACACCTTCTAGGATTCCGTAAGAACCTCCCACGTTTTTAGGTTTTCAATCCTTCACCTGGCCACAATACACAATTTCTCCAGAAGACTTCTTCATTTTCTTCAGCTGAGAAACGAAGTACCAGAATCGGGACTTAGCGACGACATGGTTCGGAGCAAAGATCCGCATACGATACAGAGGAGGGGTCGTGCATTTCGGTGTGGGCAGGCAACGGCCAACCACCTTGTACTCTCGCAGCTAGAAGGACACGAAGAACAGGCGGACCGCAGAGTGAGCGAGCCGCGGAGCCACCGCCGCGCCCGCCCCGCGGCTCCTCAAAGGAATAACGCGACGAGAGCAGCTCGATCCAGAAGTGGAAAAGCCCCTTGCACCGGCTGAGTCGATCTCCCGCGGTGCCGCCCACCTATCTAGGTCCACACCAGGCGGGAGCGACAGCGCCGCCGCCATGTTGGCCGCTAGCCGCCTCAAGGGCCAGGCTGTGCCGTTTGGGCACTCATGGGCCACTCTCGAGCGCTACAGCCCGCCACCACCGCCCTCCCGACGGCCACGTCGGCCGCATTCCCGGCCCCAGCTGCGCCCGCCAGGCCCCAGCCCATACTCACGGTGCCCGACGCCTTCATGGCGCTCCTCCACCGCGGCTCACAGGAAAGAAAAGGGACGGCCGCGTGCGCCGCCGCCTCACGTCAGTAACCCAGCCCCGCCCCCGCGCGGCGATTGACTGCGAGCAGAGCGCGATTGGAGCACGGAGCTGTCAGTCTCCGCGAGCGGCCTTGGCTTCCGGCCTGGCGGCGCCGCGTGGCCTAGCCCGACAGGCCCTACTTTATGCTCTACAGGCAAGCCTACTCCGGCCACGGCCCCCTGTTCCCATCACTGAGGCCGCGGGCCTGCATGGTGCCAATACAAGAAGACCTAGCTGTGCGTGACTCCGTCTCCTGCCCGCCCTGCTGGCGTTGGCATGAAGGACGTGACAGGGAGGCTCCAGGCGGAGGCACGACAATCCCCTCGGGGCAATAGCCGGGAGTGGAGGGCTGTCGGGGAAACCTCTCTCGCTCGTCATCCTCTGGGAGAGCGAGATCACTGGCTACCGTGAGGTTGCCCCTGCGGATCGCCCCCACGCACTCAGTTCCATGGGATGCCTCTCTTTTGCGTCTGGTCCCGCCGAGCGCTCGTTCCTCCATGCACCATGAGCGACCAGCGGTTCTGCTGGCAGGACAAGCAAGTCTCCTTCGAGCTTTGGGCGCCTCACGCCTTTTGAGAGCTGTGCTGCCGTAGCCATAGGACAGGAGTGGGTTTTGCCTTGAAAGATACCGTAACAGCAGCGAGGCTGGGACGGGTTTGTAATGCAGTTGCTCGTGTCTAGGTCGGTTTTAAGTCTGGCCCGACGGCCACGCGGGCGTGCGGTGACGCCCTGCATTGCAGAGCCCCGTGCGCAGGAGCCCAGTGCCACATGTGCAGACACAGCTGGATCGCTCCTTATGGACAAGCCCACGCCTGCCCGGGCCCTGCCCTGTGCGCGTCCCCAAGCAGGTCGGTCCGGCCGCTACTGCG